GCTTGGGGAGCGGTTAGCGATTGTCTCTGTTGGCATTGATGCCGGAAGGCGGTAAACTGCATTCAGCAGGTCGCCGTGAGCAATGATGACATGCTGAAGGTCCCGCACAAGGCCATTCATGGTGATGGCAATGGTGGATCCTTTGTCCTCCGGGGCTTTGCAGGTTAGGTTCCGTTAACTGCGCTTGCAAGTGGACTTGGAAACGCTCTGCTGGAGCTTTGGGGCCTGGAAGGAGGTTGTGACGTCACTTAACATGAGCGGAGGCAGCCGATGCGACATGGCCGCCAGAGAGGGGGCCCTGGCAGGCAGGCTGCTAAGCTCAGACTGGGGCCAGAAGCCAGAACGGAGTTCCCAGCCAGGAATGCCGATCCCAGGCCAGGTGTATTGCTGTGCTTGAAGTGTGAAAGCCGGACTGCTCGATTTTGCGGTAAGGTGAGGGCCGTTGCACCAAGTTACGTACGCTCGCCAGGTGGTGCGTTCGGTTGGACGTTGGAGTGCCGGCACCAAAACCGAGTCCTCCTCTCATCAGGCCAAGCTCGGTTTTTTCGTGCATTTCAGCCTGCTTCCACGTCGGTTGTCAAAGCATGTGCATTTGCAAAGTTGTGCTGCTTTCTCGTTCAGCTGCTGGGATGTCGAATGCTGATATTCCTGGCGAGGCTTGCTGTGGAGGGGTTGGTAGGGGCTTAGATGGGCTCAGTCTACGCGGTGCTGGTCGTGGAGGAGGCGGCCGGGGCGGCGGTGGCGGTGGTGCTGCTGGTGGTGGTGGTGGTGGTTGTGGTATTGGTGGTGGTGGTGGTGGTGCTGCTGCTGCTGCTCTTGTTACATCTTCAAACAAGTGCAGTGCCGAGTGCAGAGAAAGCTCCTCGTTTCAGGCGTATTGCGACCTGATCCAGGACGACGAGCCTTTGAGACACTGTCGCCCATCCAAGTGAAAGCTGCGAGTGTGACAGGAGTCCAAGAGCTTCATCTACATTGAGAATCAGCCACTTTGTTGCGAGGAAACGAGGTCCTAAAGTACAGAACTAGACGGTGCCGAGTTATCAAGTTCTGCTTGGGTGCAGCGCATGAGCTTCTGAGACAGACTCAGGTTCTTCTGCTCTGCAATGGAGGGCGAGGATTCTATCGGCAACCGTGTGCTCGAGGCATCTGTTTGGAGACTTCGGTTTGTCATGGGGAAAAACACCTTGGTTTTGAATCAGGGGATGCTCCGGTGCTCGCTGTAGCTTGTCACGCCAGAAAAGCCAAAACAACACCTTCAGTCTGTTTGGAAAGTAATACCAGTCACAAGAACAAACCTAACTCCAACAACCCAGACGGCCAAATCCAGAAGTGAAAGGATCAGAAGTTTCCAAAACGCTCATCATTTGAGCACTAGGAATCCTGGGCATTTTGTGTCTTGCGATACGCCCTGAAATGCCTCACTGTTTTCGTGCGTCGTGCGCTGTGAATCCTGTCAGCTAGCGTCTGCCCGGAGATCATCAGAAGTGCCAAGTCACATTTTATTATATAGTGGGAACAAAGTGTACGTCTACGTGTCGGTCAAAGCCATGCATGACATGTGAGAGGCCTTGTTTCGACGGATCGCAGAGACCTAAGTTTGCGCTGGGCTTGCTGCCATGGGTCCGGAGACAGCAAAGCAGGGGTCGAGCTGAGGTAAAGGCTGAAGACCAGAAAGAGGCTTTTCACTGTGTCATCATCCTGCCCCTCTTGCCGGCACTGGAGGTCTCCCGGCGGTGATGATTCGAATCTTCGCTTCCAGCTGTGGTCGAAGCACACTCGAACTGCGCGCAGGCCCCCCTGTGCCAGTCCAACGCCTCACAGCCCGTGTTCCGTGCACGAAGCTCAGTGTACAAGCTCTTGCCAGCAAACATGGCAACGTGGCGAACAGTCTGGATGTGCCATAGATCACTGAGTGTGACAGCTCGCCATATATGTCTCCGCCTCGGTCACATTCTGACTACTTTGCACGGTGAGGTGATGCATGCGCAGTACCAGACGCTCCGCGGTCTTCGCAAGGAGCTCCGTGCACGAGGCTGTCGCGGGGTGCTTGCACGGTGATTTTGAGACATGCGCAGCTTGGCCAGGGGTGGATGAGGCGAAGTACATCTCCGTGTTCGGTCTGAGGTGGCTCTTTACTGCCAAGAAGCAGTTCTGTGGGACTGGCGCACATTCTGGAACACGTTGAGAGCAGGACGCATGGATGGCTGGATGGTCTCGGTCATGCCACGGAGCAGATCTATATCCACTCCAAGGCAGCGAGATGGCTTGAGCATGCTTGAGTGTGGCTTTTGAGAACCGAAGTCTCGAGGCCATGGTGGTTGACGACGAGGTGCCGCAGGGACTTGCAAAAGGAGTGGCAGCAGACGCCTTCACTTTGGGCCACAGGTGGCGATTATCGGCAGCTCCAACATCAACGACCGCTCCTTGCTTGGGATGCGAGACTCTGAGGTCAACGTCGTCATCCAGGAGCCAATCAACCCATGCCGAGCCAAACGCCTCACATCCCACCACAACATCCCGCCCGGCCCTTGTCCCTTCGGAAGGCTTGTCCTGCATTGCTTGAGACACGAAGCGATGCCGACAAAGCAGGCAGGGCGGGTGGCAGGCAGATATTCCTGTGCAGGACACTGCGGCAGCCTACAGAGGCTTGGCCAGAAGAAGCTGAGTGACACAACCGGAGATTTAGATGTGTTTGTGGTCCAGCTACGTTTTTGCGCGAGAGACAAGCAGTCCAATGCATCAACATTCGGACATGAGGCATATAGAATACCGTATACTATGGATCCTGACGATGAGATGTTTGTGTACATGCGGTAAAAGAGATTCCTGGTTCAAGATTGATGTAAGGATTGTGGAGGTTGTAGCAGCCGTGTTCGAGATTTTGGTGTTCACGGCTCTAGAGTCAAAGTCAAGTCCGAGAGCCGCGCCTCAGCCGAGGGTTGGGGGGCTGGGGAAGCGGCAACATGCGATTAGGGTACCGCATGTGTGTAAACGCCTTGTCCTGGATGATGTGTGGACAGAAAGACTGCAAATTTTAAGCCCCAGCATAGGCGTGCAGTGGCCTCAAGAACTGTGAGTAAATCATTGCCTTGTGAAATCAAGCGGAGAGGCCCCGGTGGCTTGCGCGGCGGCCCTGCCGCGAACCTCCGGAAAGCGCGTGGAGGGAAGTGCCACGTTGAGTTGTTGGAGGAGTCATGAGAGGCTTGCCAGAATCAAGATCTAACGACTCCCCTGTGCAGGCACTATTCGCACAGCACATGGGCTTGACACGGGAGCAGCTGGAATCTGCGAGGGTCCCGGACAAGATGGCCTGTGATCTGTTTCAGTCCGACGAGTATTAGCGACTGTAGGACCAGTAAGTCATGCGACGTGCGACGCCTTGCCAGCCCTTCCCACCTACGGTTCAGCAGGCAGTTTGGACACCAGGGGCACCTTGATCTCCTGCTCTGGACTCCGTGTTTAAACTCAGGTCTACCCGGATCCCGTCAGCGAGGCCATGTGTTCTTAGAATCTCACAGTGGGGTGTGCACGCCACAGTGCAAGGCATCCGTGATTGAGATGCGAAGGGTAGCCCAGCAGAACACAGAGATCTACGAGGACTGGGGCGGGACAGAGCCTTTCCCTTTCTCACGTGCTGTGCTGCCTTGCCAGGAGCTCTTCGGGGCGCTGCCCTCCGATGCCGTGGGCACCTGGGCGGAGCTTGCAGCCCGGCGCCGGCAGGCGCGGACGTGCGTGGACGTGCGCGGACACTGCGACAAGTGCAAGGATGAGCATGCCTTGTACAGGCGCAGCCGCACATGAATGCGGACTTCACCAGGCCGGAAGCTACACCGGCTTTTTTCCCGTGAGGCTTTGGCCTGGGCCTAGCCCCCGTAGCAACCCTGACCACAACAAGCAAGAGTCGTTGTGTGTCGTGGCAGTTGGTGCTATTTTGACCGGCAGTCCCTGAGGATACCCGAAGCGGAGACTGCTACAGAAGCACTCAAGCGAGTCCAGGGATACCTGGCCCAGTGCCCAGACTGCGGGCGTTTCTGCGGGACGGGAGTTGGGGGTGGGGCGGGCAACACTGTGCTTGCTTCCTGAGATGAGCAGGCTTCATTGCTTCATGCAGCAGCATCGTCCGATCCCTGCACCATCCAGTTTCTGATAGCATTGCCGTCCCAGGTCCATTTTCCGCTGGACTTCCTGGCCAAAGAGGACATGCCAGCTCATGCTTGCCAACCCGTAGACTTATGAGTGGCAGGTCTTGTAACCTCTGAAACAAGGTAAATACATTAATTCTGTGAGTTAGCTGAGAGAGGCAGTGAGAGAGGTAAGTGTGAGTCTGTGGAGAGAGATTTCGGGGCTGTGAGTTTTGTGTGAGCGGTAGGTGTGATTCT